ACACACACACACACACACACACACACACACACACACACACACACACATATATATATATATATAGAGTGTCTAGGTAGATATGCGTGACTACATGTAGTGTGCGCGACTACACCTTGTAGACCACTGTTTGTGCCATGAGTGGATGTGGTGGTAGAATACTAAATGGATGCAGTAGTATATTTGTGTATTTGTTTATATATTTCGATTTTTTTTTTGGCATGTCACTTGTTATTTAAGTCGCATGCAAAAGAACACCCCTTGATCTTGATTTTGGTTCTGAAGCGAGGCCTATTGTCTGCACACAGGTTTAGCAATCACGTTGCATGTATGCAAAAAAAAAAACACATGAATTCCCAAAAGTACAGTACCTAGGTTTTCCATCGCCAGTCCGAGGTGGATAAGATTCTCGTTGAGCTCCCATAGTCGCATGCCTGACTCTACTGTCACCAGCTGTTTCACATGGAGATATATTAGTAAGTAGATCAAACGGATGAATTAAGAGTAAGCACATATACTATCAATTCATAGGAGTACATGTGAGTATGAGTAATAATATTCGTGAGCATATGAGCATATGACACAACTAGACTGTCAGTGTAGGCAGCCCCGAGAGCAAAGCAACATCGCAAACGGGTCATTGGGACTATCAATCCTTACAAACCCCTCTCGTTGAGTGCGTCTCTTTGCAATACATCACCTATTGCGTTTGGCGAGGATACCTACAGGAGATCATAACAGTTGCATAGGACTGGATTATAAATTTGGAACCCGAGTACAGCGGATTCGCGTCTAAGAAACTCGCGATCATAGTCGGGTAGTCTTCTAACAACGTTGTGTGTCAAATCGAGCGTATTTATGGTGCTAGTTAAAAGTATGCATAAAATGATACCAGTGCGCTTCACAGTTGAATAAAGAAACACGCACTATCTTGAATAGGACAGTATTAATTACACACAGCAGTGACCGTGACTAGTCAGCACTAAATAACGCACGTGGCTGTACAACGTGACCAAAAAGGAATAGTCTAGGAGTATGGCAGATGCAGCAGAAGTGTAGCACTCCAATCGTTTAAGGCCTCACAATTTGTCGACAACAGCTGGTAATTGAGAAGTTGCGAGTGAGACGAACACATCAAGAATTATGCACAAACTCAGCCTTGAACTCGAGATCAACTACACACTCATACATACGTATGAAACTAAGAGGTTGACATACATATTGTGTGCATATACATCTGCATGTATATAGAGAACAAGTGCCGATACAATAATTTATGAATATACAATATATCTGTACTTCCGTTTGTATATAGGTATCTAATTGCATAAATACGCTGGTATGATGTGTATACCAAATATACATTAACATAAATATGCATATCTTTGTGATTGTTTAGGTTCGTCTTCTTGGTCACGTGCATCAACATACAATCATGAATAATGCATACGGCACACAGCCAACATGTACATGTGTATACGTAAGTACGCAAATGAAAAATGCAGCTAAACATATGTACATTCATGAGGAACTACACTGTCAAAACAATGACGATTGTGCAAACACGTCTCGGCCTTGTTGTATGATTATTTCTAGGTATACATAACTTTGATGTTACACATGTCCTTGTGTATTGGTGTTAACATACGCATCTACTCATGCCTAGATGTACTATAATACACACACACACACACACACACACACACACACACACACACACACACACACACACACACACACACATATATATATATATATAATATACTAATAATGTATATATTATAGTCTCATGTATAAACACAGGTACATACACATGAGTTTGCATCGTACATGTAATTGCAAGTATAGTTACATGACTGCACACTCATATATTCATGAATGTGTATGTATTTTCAAGCCTCAATGTGATAATAAAATCAATAGGAAGGACAATATATACAGGTTTAACGGTGTGTATGTGTGAGTGTGTGTGTGTGTACACGTGTGTGTGTGTGTGTGTGCAACCGGCGACTACATGCACATAGACGTACATTCCCATACAAATATACAACAGAAACTGTCACAAGTTTTTAACATATATCAAATACCTCAGTCTTGACTAATTCCATATACCAGAATCGATGCATACCTGATCGCCCTCTGTGTACTCATCCATCGCTTCCATAGTGGGTGATAGGAACTTGTTCACCTTATCCAGACTCATCATTATGGCGTTTCTGTCGTCGGCAATCATTATCGGCGAGAACGAATGGCCTGCTCCGACAACTTTGATCTGTCTGTGTGCATTCGCATTGTTATTTTCCTTTACGATCGCCACAATGTCGTCAACACTGCGCGGGTAGTAGAACTCAGCCGGGTAGCACACATGTCTTTGGTCCCAGTCTCGAAACACTCTTCCGCGTATGGGATATAGGATGTCATCAAAATTCACCGATGTGTTAGTCTGTGGTGTCACTAAGCGTTCTTGTGAGTTTACTTGTGTGCGTGGAGTGATGGATGCATCGCACACAGTCACTGCACAGGCTGCACTGAGATACAGTCCCCATACTAACACACTCACCATTCTCGACTACCAGATGGCAATAAGTGTTTAGATTAAATTATAACAAACAATAGATTCCAACCTGCCGTATTAATGCCAGAGATCAAGTTAATTTCACACACAGCATAGGAACTGTGCTCGTGCTATATGCCTACAATTGAGATATGTACACAAGAACACGCTGTGGTATAGAACTTGCCATCCGACCATGATTTTTTTTTGTTAGATGAACGAGATAGACATAATCACCTGCGTTTCGGATTGGCTCGGGATTTGGTAGGGTCTGCAGAAGGCGGTAGGGTCTTGGGTTAGTTGGGTGTTCGGATCACTTCAGAATAACACGTTTTTAAGTTTACACGTATACGTTTTGAAGAAACTTATGTTTACGTTCAAAGTTTCGTTCTAGCGCGAGCCAGTCTGTCAGATTAGATCGCATTTTTTGCATGTACATATTGGCGATTTTTAACCTCCGTCTATTTGACCCGTATAAACGGTATATCAAGAATTAACGGCTACGTTCAACTTTTATTGAATAGAGTTATTAACGGATTAGGTACTGACAGCAGAGTATGTAGAGATATGTAGTTTTGGCGGGAAGTGCGTATCGTTGTGCGATCTATAGACCGGAGACTGTAGACTGTAGTAGTGTATTTAGAGTGTAGACTACATATGGAGTTTAAATCCTACTGTACTCTCGTGTCGAAACTATGATTTTACAGTCTCTACACTAACCATATACCCATTGGACATATAATCGTACAAAAACTGATCGCTATGTTGTCACAGTGAGCAGCCTATGATCAGACTGCTTAGCTTTGCAGCGACGGTCGAAACGATATATCAGTGACCTGTACAAACACCCTTAAAGATACGATTAACTACACAATGCGAGAAAGTGAGCTAGCTAGCCTGCAAGGATGCCTTCAGTCGTCACAGAAGGTGTTGGAAGCGGTATGTGTAGAGTAGATATATGCACTATGTTGACAAAAACTGGGGTTTTTTGAAGCACTTGAATGTCGATGCTCGAACGCTACAGGGCATCTCTTATCTTGGCGTCTGTGGATACCAAACAGTCACAAGTATATTGTCTCGGGCGGACTACTGCCATTCTACTGCTGTGATCTATGTGCACGATTGCTTTACAACTTCACACCTTATTTCTGTATATATACCAGTTGAAGGTTTAAAAGCACTTTTAACCCTCATTTGAGCTACATTTGGTTATTTTTAATCCGCACGAGAAAGGACTCTTCAGTCACGAATATTTAGTCAAGCACGCTGTAGAACTTATTGACTGTATGCTATTTATCACGCTTCGACTCCGCATGTTTAAGTAGATATTTCGTAGCAAATTTTTGGAAGGTCTTACTGTTGCGAACGAAAACATATTTGTAGAGTAAGGCAATCCCTGTCTATACGGATGTCACACTACTTCGACTGATTTGACTCACTCTCAATACTGTTCAATGATTACCTTTTCTTACCTTGCTATCAGCTGCACCAAGTGAATGACACGTTCGCTAATTCGGCCTTGAGCGATACCGTGCGGCTCAAAGGTTCTTTGGTCTCAGATCAAGTATGTGTGTGTGAGTGCTTTGACTGTAATGCATATAATATTCACCCATAAGAAAACTATGTGTATTTTCAAGGCTATTAAAATATGCTCGTATCATATATTTATGCACGGACACGTGCTGTGTCTGTTACTTAGATGCTGATCATTTCATGCGGGTAAAGGAACTCACGGCCATACATTGTCTATTACAGTATATGTTGCTTTATCCGCATGCCGTTGGTGTTTGTACACATCTGTATACCTATGCATGTACGAGTATACAATTCTGGTGCGATTCTGCCCATCTGGTGAAAAACAATTGTGTAAACAGGTTGCAAGTGGGCTTGGTCAACCTATTCAACACGTGCGTACGTACATATGAGTTATCGACACTTCGCGCGTCTCGCGTTTTCGCGTGATAAAGTGTATGCACAAACATAAATCTAGCTATCGTGATTCACAGTCGGTCAATGAAGGAGAAGATATCGTTACCTACAATGGTTTATCGGAAATACGAAAGCAAGATTACAAGCGTATCTACAATTGCATGGGCTTAAGTTTGAATACGGAGAGAGTGCAGTAAGGCTGCATACATTTGACTACGGTTCCCGTAGGAATGCTGGATTGTACAGTAGCTACACAAACGTCTTTTAATACCTTTGTATAAAATCGTGACTCTAGGATGTTGTATACACACATAAAATTTAGTCTTGATACCACTGGTAAACATTAGTTCATAGCACCGCACATTCATGTAGAAATAACTTGCACATAGAGCATGTATACTATATATATATGTAAACAGAATGCTCTACACAATTAGTGTACACGTATACATAATCTGTGCAACTAGTCGCAGTGTTGCCATTTCTGATTCATCCATCAGAGTCAAGTATAACAGATACTCACATGGTTTAGTTTATAGAATATAATTTCATATGTATCAACTTTCATCAATGCGGCATATTAAGTTTCTCTTCTCGTACAACAGGACGCTAGGTCCGTCGATTCAAAAACCGTACATTGCAAACACTTAGTCAACCAGGAACCATGTATATCTTGAGTTCACCTTAAACATAAGCATCAAATCGAGGAATCTACTTTACAGTGACTGCTGGACCACCATTGTACACTGACGATTCCTCATCTGTATCTCGCTCATGCGCAGACATACGAGATTGTGTCTGAGAAAGATCTGCAGAAAACGCTCGATGTTGCTGCGGCCAGGAAGACTGAAACCGGCAATCGGTACTTGTACATCCTACACAAGGCAGCAAACGATATGATAGGCGAACTGCAGGTAAGTGATCAATAAAGTGATACTTCATGTTTGTACATGTGTATATACAGTAGTAATAGACTTAATTTTGTACTGTTCAACGGGCAACCGGTACTTGTATATCCTACACAAGGCAGCAAGCGATCGGAAAAGTGTTTGACAGTGTGATACATCCTATTTGTATACGTGTGTTTTTACTTCGTCTATACATTTTCATACTAATGAACTAGCAATCGGTACTCGTACATCCTACCCACGGCAGCAATCGATATGATAGACCAAGTGCGATTGGGTGGCTCAAAATATCACGCAAAGAGCTATAATATAAGCAATCTGTAAAAAGTATCTCCTGGACTCGGCAAAGATGTGATTGAAATATGATTACACGGATGTCTGTCTATGCACTATTGCACGAGCTATCGGTATCTGTGCATCCTACATACGACAGCCATGTATATGATCGGCCAACTGCGTTCAAGCGATCATACTAATATAGTTTGTATAACGTCTCTATGGATCGAAGGTTTGCAATTGAATCGAAGATCGGTACTCACATTATAGCAACGTTTAGAAGATTAATTGACCACCTCTTTTGAGTGGAATACGGATAGGCAGGCTGTGTTACTGCGCAACAGAACAACTCGACGTAGCCGCATCGCGAAATTAACCACATGTAAACGCTCAGTCTCATCTTTTCAGGCAGCATATGGATGTTGTTGACTGAGTCACCAGTATGATCTAGCTAGTTAGAAGAAGCCGGTCAAAGGACCGCCCGCGTCTATTGTTACGTACAAACGTATGGTTTGTTTGTCGCCTTGTATCCAACTTTACAGCAACGGAAGAAGGCATTGAGTGTCGAGATAGACCAATCTACCAACACTATCGAGCTAGAGGTTGACAAGCAGGTCAAGATACTGCTGAAGGAATACGAGGAGCAACTGAGAGAACTGGATGAGTTAAGCGATAACTTCTGGACGGAGCTCGCAGACTATCGCACACAGATTGAACAACATGTATGTGGTGTTTGATGCCGATACCACAGTGATAACTTCTGTACGCTTTGGCATCAATGCACTCTCACTGTAGTCATCAGCAAACACTGTAGTACAACTTCGCTTACTGCAATCTTTTCAATTAAATGTTCATCTTGGCATGAGTTCATTTTAAAAGTTGTAGGACGGTATAGCGCGTGTCTGAAGAGTAGAAACTCTGTCCGGGACATTTGAGACATAGCACGTGCATATTTCACCTTTCAGAATGTAGTTTGTGGGACGTATGGGCCCGTGTTTACTCTATTAAGAAGTGCCTCCTATGAAGCGCGGGATGAGTAAGATTCCTCGCCGTTCGCAGATTTGTATCAAGCAAGCCCTCCGTCAATCTTGTTCTTCCTGTCTATCACAACCTGCAGCCCCCCCCCCCTTCTCGAATTTTCTAACTTTTCGTCCAACTCAACAGGAATCGAAACTGGAGCAGACCAGAGCTTCCTTAGACAAGAAGAAAGTCGCTGTAGGACAGGTATTGACTCGTTCTAAGTGTTCTCCAAAGTGCAATTCAATCTCTTAATCCCGTCGTAGGCACACCGAATTCGCTTGTTCATCGTATTCCTAAACTGTGACGCTTAGCTACTATTGGGGTCGGACTAAGGTATTCACCGCCTGAGCGTGTCATGATTATCATTTGCAACTCAGAATATAAGTATACGCGCTTGTATGTGCTTGTTATGCGCGCCCGTGTTCAAATATGTAGGATTGAATGGATACGTGATGAGATCAGGTCGCAAACCAAAGTCTGAGTTGGTTCCATGAGCGAGTCACACCAGTTATTTAGCGTCGTTCAATTCATTCGTTAGTACTTGATTTCATGATAGTGTAGTTGCTGCTCACTTTCGGTAGAGTAGTCTTCTTATAGTAAATTTTCTGAAATGCTTTAATTAATGGCATCCCTGTTTTCCAGCCCCTTAATGATAGGATAATCTTGTATATTGAGATTAAGGTTATATTAAAGGGTTACTAATGAATATCTCCCTTCGTGACCTAAAATCATTTAAGATAGATCCCATTTCCCTATAATGGTCTTGATGTTCACGACTAATTATCATCCTTCGTGACATCACTCGGTTTAAGGTACATCTTACTTCGTCATAACCACTCGCGGTGTTCATATCTTAAAAGGTCAGTATTATCACATTGTTTCGCGTGTGGGTATTTCGAGAATATGAAGAATCAAATAACGTATGGACTCCCTCGACTTGTGTGAGTGTTCTTTATTCTTAGGGTACTTCGGTATTCCTCGTCGAGTGCCACCAAATAGTATATACTATAAGAAATCAAAACTTGAATCAGTTTAGCAGCACGTGATACTCAAATTAATTTTTTTGCGCACCACGATATGTTGTCAATATTTTTGTCAGATCGAACTGCAAACGGCCAAAGTGGCAAAGAGATTATTTCAGCTGGAGAGCGAGTACAAACAGATAGTCGAGGAATCACAGTTGAAACAGAAACGTTTGGCCGAACTCACGAGGTACATTGGTTGACATGAAATTCTTTGATTTTATAATTGTGGAGTTTTGTAAAACCTTTCAAAGAGTGTAAGATAGTATTTAAACCTATTTTCTTCTTCTTCATATGTTCGAAACGACAGCTCCCTGTCAATTAATCCAGAGAATACCGTGCATGCGAATCGTCACATGAACAAAAGAGGAAAGTCAATTTGTATGAAACAATCGCTAAATGTGATACTAAATAGTGTCTGTGTATGAAGAGAAATTTTAAATACCTCAATCTTAGAAGGCCTTCGACTCCAGGATCATAAAGCAATCACACGGATTCAGTACTTCAGGAAATCATAGTACGCGTGTGTGTCTGTTGCAGAAAGTTGCTGAAAAATATGTTCATCACTGTGAGTGTGTCATGAATGTTGACGTGGGTATGAGAGTTCCCTGTGTACAAATGCGAGGTCCGCATATTCAAAAAGGCCAGATAGGAAAGACACAAGAAGTACGTGTATAATTATTGTGCCGATGTTTAAATGTTTTAGCTGGAGCGTGATATGCATATTGGCGTATTCTGTATAGGGAAAGATATACGTATACGTAAACAGTGCACGTAGGTAAGAAGTAAGTGAAAGGGGTACACATCGTATAGTATATAGAACTCTTATGTGGTTGTTCATAGTCGGTGTACGGGTGAGCTGATGTGGGGCTTAACTATGCGTAGATAACACATGGCCGTCGATGTGGGCGACAGCATCAAGCGGAGGCAATATACGTTACCTGCTTTCTCCATCCCCTGTGATGCTTATGGATATCCTACAGTTTCATCGCATATGACTATTCTACTGTGTTTCTTGTGGCTGTCTTACTGTGTTTCGTAACACTATCCTGCTGTGTTTCGTATGATTATCCTACTGTGCCTCAGATGACTTCCTTCTGTGTTTCTTATGACTATCCCACTGTGTTTCATATGACTAGCTCGCTGTGTTTCTTATGATCATCCTCCTGTGTTTCATACGACTATCCTACTGTAACTCACAAGACTATCCGGCTATATTTTATGACTATTCTACTGTGTTCCTTATACTATCCCTTGCGTTTCTTTCGACTATCCTGCTGTGTTATATGTGCCTGTCCTACTGTGTCTCAGATGACTATCCTACTGTGTTTCTTACGAGTATCCTACTGTGTCTCAGATGACTATCCTACTGTGTTTCTTACGAGTATCCTACTGTGTTTCTTATGAATCTCCTGCCGTGTTTCATGTGACTGTCCTACTGTGTATCAGGTGACTATCCTACTGTGTTTCTTACGACTATCTTACTGTGTTCCATATGACTATCCTGCTGTGTTGCATATGGCTATCATACTGTGTCTCACTGACTATCCCGCTGTGTTTCTCATGACGATCCTACTATGTTTCTTATGGCTGTCCTACTGTGTTTCCTATGACTGACTTAATCCTTATGGCTATTCTACTGTGTTATTATGGCTATCCTACTGTGTTTGTTACAACATATTGTTCGATAGTGGTAGCTGATGATAGCGGAACAAATATATCATTCTTTGGCCCCGGTTGTGCTTCCAACCACAGTTGAACGACCGCAAGCACATCACATCCTAGGATTCTTTTGACTGGATTTTACGGTGTAGTCTGTGTACTCATGTTGCATATTCGGGGTTCTTGCAGATCTCGCTTTTCAAGAAGATATCAAGCAGCAAATTGCGGATTTGACGCTACAAAAAAAGAATCAGAAGCCATGTAAGTCATACTAGTTGAAGGTGGTGGGCTGAGCGGTCCCTGATTGTTTTTTGACTCCAGATTACACGATGTAAATAGACAAGTATATCAACGGTCCCATGGACAAGTGCAGTTAGAATCATACGTTTTAGATCCTATCAGTCGGGTGCTTTTTTTTTGCAACAATATGAGTTGATGATAAGTGTATTTGCAACATAATGAGTTGATGATAAGTGTATAGACTGGCAATTTGAATGCATTTGGAGTGATATGTGCCAGCTTCTATCTATTGCGTGTGCAGCGAAATTGTACCGGTTTCATATTATTCTAATCCTACTACGCGCACACGCACTGTGCGATGCGCATCTGTCTGTATACGTTCAGCGGGTGAAGTAGAACAAGCAATCGAGCAGAGATTACGGAAGGAAAAGGCTCAGCTGGAGGCGCAATTGGGAGAGGTATGTATATACATGCTGCTTCTGATCGCTGCTGGAATATGTTTCTGCCAGAAGTAATTGTACTGTTGAGTGGGGTGCCTGTATATACCTAAGCGGTGTATGTTCTGACATAAGTATCTGGTGAACGGTATGACTGTAGTAGACAATCAAACGGTGCCCGTTCTGGCAGAAGCGACTGGTGAGCAGGATGACTGTAATAGATAGTCAAGCGGTGTGTGTTCTGCCAAAATATAGATGACCGAACGGCGTGTGTTTGAACCGGCTCATATCGTTACATGTGCACGGCTACATAAACATGCACGTTATACATTGCAAAGCGACTAGGGGTTGATACCCAAAACCAGGTATTGACGTAAAATATACAATGCGTACTATGTTTGAGTTTGCTTGTTTCGAAGCCAAATAATACGGAGTTGCCTCGTCTTATGATACGCGCTCACTATACACGGTATTTACTCATTTCCACTCGGTATGGATCAGCCATAAACACAGTTATATTTATAGCATGCTAGCACTGTTTTTCCCATATATGTTATTTGCTTCGGAATTGATGCAGTTGTGTTTATACCATATTAGTACTTATTCTCCTACACATGTTACTTACTTAAGAATTGAATAGCCGCAGATGCAATTGTATTTAACGATGTACGTCTGATATTCTCTGCTTGCTGCATTGTATGAACAGAAAAAGTGCTTTCTACTTTTGCCGCCAACGTTGCCATCGTTTATATAGCTGCCAATCACTCATTCCAACTGAATATCGCGGATGGAAATAGTAGATACTGTGTATTTATTTTATTACTCTTTTATGCTACAGATTTGAGTGGGACCCAGTGCTAAATTAATACACAATTAGGTGGCCGTACAAATACTGTGAGCCTCTCTCACTTCAAAACTTGTGTTGCTGATTAAAAATCACGTGATCACCCTCTTATGAGTAGATGGTGATTATTAATTGTACCTTCATTGCACCTTCTCTGCTATATTCTAAATCGATGTTTGACGTAGCCGCTATCTCAACTCGATCACAATAGATGAACTCAATCACAAACGCAGCTAGAAGTAGATGTTGAGAGCTACTACTATCTGTGCAATTGTCGAATATAGCACATACCGTACAATTTTTTCATAATAAGAATTACTCAAATAAAAGGAAAAGCAAACTAGAGCGGGTGTCTCGTTTCGCCGGGTGTTATGTTCTGACTAACCAGTATTTGGTTACGACCACACAATCAGATGGAAATAGACGATACATTGGGCGACGATGCCTGTTTTCGGAAAGTTCGCGATAAAATAACCAAGATTGCGGCAGAAGCTCCCATAAAGGCAGATACTCTCGCAGACCTTTTGCATCGGATATTCCAGGAAGACACGCTTTCCACAGCAAGCATAGACGAGGTGTGTTAGAGCATTGTGATATCTCGACATGTGACTTTTGCTGCCGAAAGTGTGTATGGCTGGCTCTGTCAAGCGTGTGTAGTAGAAGTCTATTTTGTAGAGTCCGATACGCCGCCCAGGGCCATAGGATAGGATTTGGACAGCGATGCATTACGTATGTACGGTAAACTTGTTACCTTAGTGCCACATGCCAAACAGAACTTGCCAGTCATAGTTGTCGTTCATCGTAGTACTGTTGCCGTTTGTAGCTGAGTTTTGTATGCCGGCATTGAAAGCCTCTCTGTTGGAGAAGCTGTGGAACATTTAGAATCATGTGTCGCACCTGAATGTAACATTTGGAATTCGTATTTACCTACTCATGTGTAGTCATATAATCACACTCATACATTATTTATGCATAATACCACATTACTGACCACAACAACGCTTTCACAAACGTGAACGGGTTGTTTTAAATAGTACATTCACTTTCTTTGCCCCTGTGCAAGCCAATTTACTGGCTATGGAGTGACAAGGTAAACTCATACTCCTTTTTTTGTATTTGTCACAGGCCCAAATTTTAGATATAGATGTCCTCAATGGATATTTTCACTATACAACGGGCATATCTTGCTGTCTATGAATGGATATATATATATATATATATATATATATATATATATATATATATATATATATATATTATTATATATATATATATATATTATATATATACTATACTA